GGTGAGCCCCTGACCAACCCCGAGCTTGACACCTCGAACCTCATGCCAATAGGGATACCACCTCCACTTTACTTGCACTTGCACTGTTCCCAAATCCGCCAAGTTAGCTAGACTAGACTGCGCCTGTGCCTGGATTCCTGGATCCCGCTGGGCCCGCTAGATATTGGTCCCTGGGCCCCCCATCGCAAGCTGCGACGCCAGTCACTATTGTTGCGCTGGTGCTTTCGCTGGCCCCAGCCCCTTGAACAAGCACATGCAGCCCTGATCCTGAGAGCACGCGGCGCACTGGCTGGTGACGCACCTGGCTTAAGTGAGGGGGGGTCTATGGGGGTCCACGCACCTGGCCAATGCTGCGTTACGGTTCCGGATGCCGTGGGAGGGGCGCCCTTTCCAAATTGCGCGAGCCTTCGGAATGACCCCCGAAAAGGCAGACACCGAGCGTTGGCCACCAGGGCTCGTGAAGAGCCGATTTGGGCACGATTTGTAAGCACAGGAACGCACAAGTTAGAATTCTTCGCGTGAGCGTCTGATGGGGGGGGGGCGGTGATGGCCTCAGGCGTTGATGACTGACTGACTGACTGAGCTGACTCAGACTGAAACCCAAGACGTGCACCAGAATGCTCGATTGCCCTGAGGAGCCCCTAGGTCCTAAGTCAGAAAACCCCACGGGGCTCACGCAATGGCAAGACTGATTGAATTCATATCGGCGCAGCCGTCTTTACACATTTACATCACTGTACACCTGTGATTTTCGATCGAGGAGATGGCGTCCGAAGCTCGGCGTCGTCGGACGCGGCGCTGGAACGCCCTCCCCTCGTGAAGGAGCGGGAGAGCGGTCGCCTGCGAGATCTTCTCCCTGGCGATGCTCTCGTCGACAAAGTTCTGGTACACTGCGCGCGCAGCTGCATCCATGCCCCGCCAAATGGCGCCGAGCCTCTTCATGTCACGCTTGTGCTCCTCCGTGCCTGGTCGAACGCCAGGCGTCCGATTGAGGCCAGTGAATGCCATCCACGCCGACGTCGCCCTGACGCGCCTCTCTTTGAAAGGCACGTCCTCCTTCGCGGTGCGCCTCCGCCCTGTTCTGCCAGCAAGTCGCTTCATTATACTCGTGAGGTGGATCGGCTTGACCCCATGACGTCTGCAGACGTCCTTCCTGATCTCCGCCATCTTGGCGAAAATCTTGTTCCTCACGAACTTCCTGTAAGTCCTGACCGAGAGCTCGAACGGCCCGACTGTGCGACCTCTCTTCCGTTTGATCTCCTGGCCGAGCAAATGTTTGCGCTCTTCGTTCAGCGAGGTGAGGGGCATGGACGCCAAGCTGTTGTATAAAAAACCGTGCGCGATGCGACTCTGATGACCACTGAGCTTGCCAATCCAAGGCAAAGAAAACGATGCATCAACACATGACCTGCAAGCTCGGTAGGTATCACCCAGTGTGTTCATCGTGGCCATAATCGCATCCTCGTTGTAATCCACCACGCACGCACGAAGTATATCGAACTTGGGCTGGGCAAATCTGAACTCAGTCCTGAAGTATGCCGAACCTGCAGACGAAATGAGCTTCACAGATGCATGGAAGAACTGGTCGTCGGTCCATCCTCCATCCTGCCAGCCGCTGGACGTGCTGTCGAACAACATATCTGCGATGCCACGCTGTAAGGCCAAAGCGTTGGTGCCGTCCAAGAACTTCCCGACATGGTCGCGAGCCGTCTTCGAGGCCAACTCGAAGCGCTCAGCGTGATCAGAGGGGCTGGAATGCGGGTGCGTTGGCGGCTGAAGCTCTTGCAATCTCACGAACTGCTGCCTGGCCTGGTCCGCTTTGAACAGGGTGTTCAGGTAGACCTGGAACGGCGAGTTGCAGATGGCGGCAATTTGCAATGACCTGTTCATCAGGTCTGCGTCTATGAAGGCAGTGAGCTTCTTCGCCCTGATGCTGTTGTTCGCCGAGTGGTTGACGTCCCCTGCCGCCGCAGCAACAGCGGCCTGAGCCTCCGCAGCATCCAGCGATTCACCATCACACATGGCGTGCAAACACCGAGGCAGAATCTTGAAGAGAAGCATCCCCCTAAGCATCCAACAACTCGCTTGCTCGAAACCTTTGAACCTATACATCAAACATACGGGGCAGCCAGCTGAGAATAACATATCAAGCGCTCTCTTGACAGTGTTATGGAAGTGCATTCTTCCACCGCAGGTGCACCCAGGATGATGCCGATGCACGATGAGCTCATCATCTGGATCGGAGTTCAGAACCATGACAACAAACTCAAGGTCAGTGCTGTCTAAATCGCGAGCAGGCCTGGTCATCGCAATGATTCCTCGTGTTTTCGCCTTCCACCCACGTATCTGATCAGACTCATCAAAGACATCGCGAAACACTGCTGCGTTCGCAATCTTATCAACCTGGGTCTGGAAACGATCCCGACATCGAGCCAACTGCCACAGGTGACCAGCTCGCGTCATCGCTGTTATCGGGTCTGACTGGTGCTCAAAGTTCGGCCTCATCGACAAAACCAGCTGGTGCGCGAAACACTGAATGCCAATCACAGTGAACGAGTGTGGCGTGCCCTGGGACAAGATCGCCGACCGTTCAACCTGTCCCTGCAGTAAGCCATTGCATACGTGTGCGTCCTTGGAAAAAAAAAAAACACCAACTTACTTTCAACGGCATCAACGACAGGACCGCACACATCAGCACGATCAAAGCAAGAACCTCTGGTAGGGAAAATACCCCACCTCCTCCACCTGTCGTAGATCGTTCCGAAATTCCCCCTCGGGATGGGCACAGCAGGCGTTACTATCTCACAGGCCATGGTCGAGAACGAAGCCCTCGAAAACAAAGGAATCATGTGAACTGTCTGCGAAAGGTTCATGACACAACGGCGCTTATTCGCGCCACGCTTGGACTCGTGCTTGTCTACGCCAGGGTTGGGCATATCATCAGCAGCAGCAGGTCGCTGAACGTCATTGGGCGCAGAACGAAGCCACATCTCAGCGTCGTCCATTGTCGCAGTGATCAGCATGCCTGCCTCAGCAGGAGGCGCTGAGGCGATGAAGTCGCGCACGCCTGTGGCCTGGGACAGCACGTGCGACACTGCGGCCCTGGAGCAATCCTTCTTGGACGTCCTCCTCACGTCCACTGTGATGATCAAACCAGCGGCCTCGAGCTCACTGGTCCTCAACACGGCTTCCTGTGGACCACAGCCAACCCGCAACCACGACATGATGCCAATGCCGCCCAATCAGACTTGCCCTGCGCCCGCACCTGGTCATTCAGTAAATCTCACGCATTTGCAGAATCTGATCCATGGCCCAGGGCATGTCTGACTGGGCGGCATCGGCCGCAGGACGGTTGGCGGGCTGGCTCCACAGTCCTTGGCGTCAACAGCGGAGCACCCGAAACTTGTGCTCGAGACCGCCCGCGCGAAGGAGCTGCCCGTGTTCCTCAGGGCAGCCCGTGCCCGCCAAGCCTGAAATTTGTGCATGGCGGCGCGGATCCGAGCTCTGTGGACGAGCTCCTTCGGCCTGCCTGGCGCGCCGCGACCGTGGCCCGCCCCTGGAGCGGCTGCTGCCCTGCCGCGGGCGCGCCCACGGCCGCGGCCGCCGCGGCCGCGCCCGCGCCCAGCTGGTGCTGGCGCGGGGGCGGCAGGAGCCAGGGCGGCGGCAGCAGCTGCTGGTGGGGCTGCAGCTCCTGCAGCACCGTCGCCTGCTCCAGCCCCAGGGCCATCCACCAACAACCTCCACATGCCCGAGGTGCCACAAGATGATAGAGTTGAGCCCAAAGTGGCGGAGGGTGGACACATGGGGGATCGGACAGGCTTGCTGGGAAGGCGGTCATGGCATGAGCTTGCACGCAGAGCGACAAGGGACACATCAGAGGACATCCAAGGGACCAAGGGACATGCCAGGGACATGCCAGGGGACATACTAGCTGACATAACAAGGGACATAACAACCATAATTTGAAGATACGGGTATGGGGTAGGGGGTAAGGGGTAGAGGTAGGGGTAGGGGGTAGGGGGTAGAGGTAGGGGTAGAGGTAGGGGTAGGGGTAGGGGGTAGGGGGTAGGGGTAGCGGTAGGCTGTAGGGGTAGGTGTAGGGGTAGGGGCATGGGTAGCGGTAGGGGTAGGGGTAGGGGTAGGGGTTGGGGGGCCGTTGGTCGAGAAATACGTGTGGGGGTGGGGGAGGAGAAATCCCTCATAACCGCGCGGCCCTATGCGAAGTGCGTGTGCGTCCACCTCCCCCCAGCTATGTCGGCGTTGCTTATTGCCCTGAATTGGTCAGATATTGCCCGTCCCCCACTCATGTCTCCCGATCGCCCCCCACCAATCCTCGCCCTCATCTCCTCTAGTTGCATCGACCCCGCCCCCATGAAAGAAACGTCGGGCTGTCAGATGCCAAAACGTGTTCTTATGTTAGATGTTTGTACGTGCGATGTTTTCTTTAGTAGGCCAGGGGGCGCACGGATTTTTACAACAGGCGCTATCAGACGTCTTTGTGTTACCTATACTCACGGTTTGAGGTCCACCAGGTAGTCACGCAATATCCACCGTGGCATTTGTTGTTTATCGGCGCATGCACTTGCGAGCTTGAATGAGCGACATGGGGCGAGTTCGTCGAGTGGTAACAAAGGCGGTGCGAAACTGGCCCTTGTTCGTACCGTTGGGCGGGGCAAACAATGCTGACACATATGCCCCACCAACGCACTCGAACACCGCACATGGATGCACCTCCAAGTACTGATACTACTGTAATGTGGACGGTACCAATACAAATCGCGTACCCTTTCGGGATCATTGCCCTGCTCGACATCCGACTGTGCGAGGAGAGAGGGGATCTACGCCATGGTAAGGGATGGGAGGGAGGGGTAGGATGTCAGATATGACGCGAGCGCACCTAGCTTGTCACCCCCCCCCTCCTTTATAGATCCCCCATGACGCAACGCCCGAACGACGATCCCCGCGGGGACACCGGCAGCGCGGGCGGCGAGCGCGGCGGCCTCGACAAAGAGGCAGAGCCGAACGAGGTCCAGCCACACAGCGCCGCCGGCCTGCCTCCGCCCAGGGTCCTCGGCGACCGCCGCCGCCGCCGACGTCATTGCCGCCGCCATCGCTCCTCCTCCTCCTCCTCCTCCTCCTCCTCCTCCTCCTCCTCCTCCTCCTCCTCCTCCTCCTCCTCCTCCTCCTCCTCCTCCTCCTCCCCCTCACTGCGCAGAGCCAGAACGGCGTGAGATCGCCCCGCAAAGAGTGGGCAGTGGGACGGCCACGGCAGCTCGGCGGCGAACGAGGGGGGGAAGCGAGAAGGAGGAGGCCTCCTCAGAAGGCCGCGGGGCCTCTCAGAAGTCCCTCGCGCCTTCTCGGAAGTGTTGTGCGTCGTCGGGCAAGGTTTAGAAAACTTCTCAGAAGGCCCGGGGACTCCCGAGCCTTCTAAGAGGGCCTTCTCCTTCTCATTTCCCCCCTGGGCTCGCCGCGGAATGACGGAGTGATGCGATGGCGCTGATGAGGGTGATGGTGAGGAAGTGCGCGCCATCTGGCAAACCCGTAGTTGAAAACATGTGTTCTTCAAACGTGTCTGCAGAACACTATCTTCTAATGCTTCGTAACTCATCAGTTTTGCAAGGATCTCGACGCGCGCGCGCGCGGTGGCGCACGCGTGCGGCCCGCAAGGCATGATGTAGTACGGAGACGTGCACTGGGCGTCTGCTGGATCAACGCGAATGCACCGCGCGGCGAGATAAGAATGCGGGTTCTGGACTAAGTTGCGAGGCAAACCAGTGCGGGTTCTGAGCGTTTGAGACAGACAAGTGTGCGCGCATAGCAGTATTTGACAGGGATGAGGGAGGGGTGTCGATACCGACCTGGCTGGGACAGTATGACGTTATGTGAAACATGAACGACGGGGGAGAACATACTTCATTTGCAGTGTCCAAGGGGGGCGCTGACCCCGGGGCGGGAGGGTGGTGGAATCTGAACTTCTTTTGAAAGGAGAATATACGTCATGAAAGCTAAGGTAGGGGCCCAAAGACACACAAACAAATCCGCCGACCCTGTCAGCGTGTGGACCCCCTGGCGGCGTGCGCTCAGTCGACGCATCCGTTGTCCTCTTTCCCTGCGTCTCCGTCGTCCCCTTTCCCTGCACCCTCCTCTTCAAGCCTGCCACCGAGAGAAAACCGTAGGAACGTCGCACTTAAGTCGAAGGGAAGCCCTTCCCTTTGATCCCTCCCCCGCCGAGAGAGGGGGGTCCCAGGAGGGTCCCGGGGGGGGGGTCCCGGGAGATCCCGGGGGGGGGGGGGGGTCGGATACGCATCCGCCCCTGGGCGTCCCGGAGCCCAAAAAAGCGCCAAGACGCGCCAAGAGGGCCCCAAGCAGGCCCAAGAAGAGGACCACGAACCAACATTTCGAGCTTCCCGCCCCAAGAAGCCCTCGGAAGGCCCCAAGAGCCCCCAAAGGGGCCCGAAGAGGCCCCCAAGAAACCCCCAAGAGGCCCAACAAAGGCCCCAACAGGCCCGAAAACATCCAAGAGGCCAGCACGGTGGCGGGAAGGGCCGCAGGCCACAAGGCTCCCTGTCTGTCTCTGCTACAACTCCCCTCCTGCTCCCTTCCACCTTAATCTCCCTCCTCCTCCTCGTATTCGTCGTCGTCTTCAGGGTCGGCGGCACCAGCCGTAAGGCCTTACAAACCCCAGGATTCCCCATATCTCATCATATATTCTGGGTTTCCGTCTTCCCCCCCACTTCCCATATCATCCCCATATTTCCCTGAGGATCGACGATGAATTGTGTCTGTGTTTTTGTTCCCTCCTGATGGAGGCGGCCACGAGGCGGCAACGGGCGGCGACGTGGCAAAACCTCGGGAGACCCACCCGGCGCACGTGGCACGAGGCGGCCACGAGGCGGCCACGGGTGGCCACGTGGCGGAATCTCGCTGGACCCACCCAGCGCACGAGAACGCCAGGAGGCGGCCACGAGGCGGCCGCGGGCGGCGGCGTGGGAGAACCTCAGCAGACCCACCCGGCGCAAGAGGCGGCCTCGAGGCGGCGACGTGGCGAAACCTCGCCGGGCCCACCCAGCGGGCGAGGCAGCCACGCGGCGGACGAGGCAACCACGGGCGGCAGCACGGAGAAGCCTCGCCAGGCCCACCCAGCGCAGGAGGCGGCCACGAGGCGGCCACTGGTGACAGAGTGGCGAAAACTTCGCCGGGCCCACCTCGCGAACGAGAAGGCCACGAGGCGGTCACGAGGCGGCCGCAGGCGGAAACGTGGCCAAGCCTCGTTGGGCCCCCCAGCGCACGAGGCGGCCTCGAGACGGCCATGTACGGCGACGTGGCGAAACCTCGCCAGGCCCACCCAGCGCAAGAGGCGGCCACGTGGCGGCCATGGGCGGCAACGTGGTGAACCCTCGCATGCCCCATCAATTTCCTGAGTGACGCAAGTAAGAAGCCTTAAGTGCAAGCACTGATTGGGGATTGCATGTACAAACATACATACAGACCTACATACATATGTACGTACACACATACGTGCATACAGACATGCATGCATGCATGCACCCATATATTACACGCAGTATATACATTATACGCATTCCATTACATTGCATTACATTACAGTACAGTGCATTACACTACACTACACTACATTACATACATCCCGACCTACCTACCTACCACATACATATATGCGTCCATGCATATACACATACATACATACATGCGCACACATACGTACGTACGTACATACATACAGCACATACATTACAGACGTTGCAAACGTTACGTACATACATACATGCATGCGTACGTGTACGCGTGCATACCTACGGACATACGTACATACATACATACAGCTGACACAAATATGCATACATGCATACATACATGCATACATACATACACACCTACCTGCATGCATACATACATAAATGCATGCATGTATGCATGCATGTATGCATGCATTCATACATAGATGCACATATGTTGTATGTACAGTTAGATGCGTGCATGAAGGTTTGTATATAGGTATGTGTGTGTGCATGTATGGATGTAGTTATATGTGTATGCATGTATGTACATGTATGTATGTATGTATGTATGTGTGTATGTATGCATGTATGTATGTATGTATGTATGTATGTATGTATGTATGTATGTATGTGCATGTTTGTATGTATGTATGTACGTATGTATGTATGTATGTATGTATGTATGTATGTATGTGTGTGTATGTGTGTTTGTATGTATGCATGTATGTATGTATGTATGTATGTATGTATGTATGTATGTGTGTACGCATGGATGTATGAATGGATGTACGCATGCATGTGTGTATGTATGTGTATGTGCGTATACATGCATGTATGTATGGATGCATGTATGCATGTATGTGTGCATGGATGGATGGATGGATGGATGGATGGAATCATGTATGCATAACAATGTGCGCATACGCATATATGTAAACATACGTATACACATACGTAGAGAGAGCGAGAGAGAGAGAGAGAAACACAGTACACCTGAATGGTCATATGCATCTGCATGTGTACAAACACACACACACACACATACAAAGCGTAAGCACATACGAGAGATGGTGAGGAAGGCTACCAATATGTCATGTGTATACAGATGGGGAGAGAGAGACAGAGAGAGAGAAAGAGAGCGAAAGAGAGAGAGAGAGAGAGAGAGAGCGGGGGGGGAAGCGAGGGAGGCGGCTACAAGGGCTGAGGGGAGGCGCAATGGCGATGGGGAAACGTGCGGGGGCGAAGGGGCGCGAGGCGAAAGGGGGAGGGGGAAAGGGGGAGAAGAGGTGAGGGTGAGAGGAGAGGGTTAAGCCAAGGGAGGAAGACGACGGAGGAGGACGAGGGAGGAGGGAGAGAGGGAGGAGGAGGAGGAGGAGGAGGCGGAGGAGGAGGCGGAGGAGGAGGGGGGAAGGAGAGGAGGAGGAGGAGGAGGGAGGAATGAGGTGGTGGAGGGGGCGAAGGGCGGGGTCGTGGCCGAAGGCGGAGGGAGAGGTTAGGGAGGGAGGGAGATCCTGGAGTGATCGCGGGGCGGTGTGAGTCCGACGCCCCTGCACCACCACTTGGGGGTGCGCTGCCTCCGGGCGTGCTCCTCTTCACTGGCAACCTCGGGCCAGGGCCCCTGACGAGCTCGACGGAGGTGTCCACGGCCCGCGGCCGTGGGGCCTTCCTCATCACAGGGATCGCCGAGCTCGCACAAGAAACTGCTTCGGAGCGGGGGGGGGGCTCTGCGACGCGGCGCGCAGCAGGGAGGCCCTTCTGCAGCAGGGGGGCAGGTGGAAGGAGGAGGGGGAGGAGGAGGAGGACGAGGAGGAGGAAAAGGAGGAGGAGGAGGAGGAGGAGGAGGACGAGCGTAAACCCTGAACGCATCAACGATGCTGCAATGGAGGCGGAAGGAGGAGGAGGAGGAGGACCAGCGCAAACCCTGGACGCATCAACGATGCTGCAGTGGAGGTGGAAGGAGGAGGAGGACCAGCGTAAATCGTAGACGCATCAACGCTACTGCAGTGGAGGAGGCTGCAGGAGGAGAAGGAGAAGGAGGTGGAGGAAGAACCAGCGCAAACCCTAGAGGCATCAACGATGCTTCCAGAGCCGCGGCGGGTCCTGGAGGATGCCGCGCGCCTTCCGCTGGAAGCTCGCCTGAAGGCGCTCGTCACACACGCGGCCGTGCTGCTTACCCGAGCTTAGTCGCACACCGAGCCGCCGCCGTGCCCCAGCATCACCAACACATCACCATCAGCATCAGCATCATCATCATCATCATCAGCATCTTCAGTATCATCAGCATCAGCATAGTCATCGTCATCGCCATCATCGCCATCATCAGCATCATCAGCATCATCAGTATCATCATCCTCATCCTCATCCTCATCAGCATCATCATCATCATCATCATCATCATCATCATCATCATCATCATCATCATCATCATCATCATCATCATCATCAGCATCATCATCATCATCAGCATCACCACAGCATTACCACCACAACCACCACCAGCACCAGCATCATCACCATCAGCGCCTTCATCAGCATCATCAGCAACATCAGCACCATCAGCAGTATCACCATCATCGTCGCCCTCGTCGTCAACATGATCATCATCATCAGCATAATCATCATCATCATCATCATCATCATCATCAGCATCATCATCATCATCATCATCGTCATCATCATCATGATCATCATCACCATCATCGTCGTCATCATCACCTTCATCCACATCAATAATCATCAGCATCACCCTGTTCACTGCCTCACAATCAAGGTCCGAATTATATATATGCAAAAAAAGCATCAACGCTCGATTATGGGCTGTAGATTGTGGAGTGAGACCCAGAGCCACTAAAGTATAGCTTCTTTGGGCTCAAGAGCCTGCGCGGGTACAGACGCGCAACATCGTAAGGTTCGGCCTCGCGTGAGCCATGCCAAGCACTGCAGACTAAACACTGTGCGCAGGTGAAGAAAACGACCTGAAATCAGCACAAATTATTCGGAGACCTGTCCCACGGCAACGGCCCGTGGAGAGCGCCAGTCTTCAAGTCTTTGAGTACAGTGACAGTGTATATACAATACGTCAGACAGCGTACATGCCTCACGGATGACGACCACCCGGTCATTCTGCCCTTCGTCGTCCCGAACCTCAACGGTCGAGCTTGGCTTTGAGAAACCCCTCAGCACCGAGACTGCCCGACATCGTCTCATGGTGTGATTCGTCTACTGAAGCAAATGATATTGCTGGCTTTGTAATAGTTTTGGCAGGCTCTGTCGATGCGATGCTCCCACCACTCAATCGAGGAAGTGCGCGTACAGAGACCAAAGAAATCACTACATGTATGCTCTTGTTTGCGTCTGGGCTGCGAAGGCTCCGACGGACTCACCATGCCGCCCATTAATGGCCCAGGGTGGTTTCGGCAGCAATGCCGCGTGTTCCCGTCGGAGCAGCAAGATGGCATAGTCGTGCGTCCGACAATGGCATGGTCGCGGATTGCGCAGTGGACACTCATCACCGATAGTTCCGAGGATGCCGCGCGACTCATCGGTTCTCACGCGGGCTTCTACATCCGGCAGAGGCAACCTCGCGCGCCCCCCCGGCGCCCGACAAGGCTTAACAGCTTGTGCATTGGAACACTTCACTGGCTGTCACCGCAGTCTCGTGACGGTCGTCTTACCAAGTATAGCCGCACAGCGCCACCAGGGGAAGCATTGGTACGTTTTTCCTAGTTTCTACTTTCACAATGGAGTCTGAAGCTACACCACACGCCGTGGAGGCGACCATGAAGTCCCTGCATCCAGTTTGTAACCGCGCATCTGACGATCAGTGGCGAGCTCAGAAGCGAGCTGGCCAACCTCAACTTCCGAACGAGCTAGGCATCGCAACCGATCTTTACCGCGTCAACGTGCACAGCAACTACGTTCTTTGCTAGCGTTGCAAATCTTTCAGCAAAATGCATCGAAACGCCTCGCTCCCGAAGTTCCGTCACCTATCACGCCCAGGACAAGGTTTCACACAGTTTGGCATCGGTGGCTACTAACGGCATATGTCGCGATGCGTGGTTTCATCGGTCCGCCGGCTGTTTCACCCCGATCACCTCAATCTCTTGCACCTGCACTGTGCAAGCTCACGGCCATCCCTTGAGTTTTCTGCATCCTGTTCACGGGACGTCGCCGGCGCCACCCTGCACCGCGTCGCTCGCAGCCCCAGGTCGGCAACCCCGGGGCCGCACCCAAGGCAGCAACTCGCCGTTTTCTCGAATGTGCTCCATGTCGGCTTCGGCAACCACTCTACGATGGCGCGGCCCACGGTTCTCCCTCTGCGGTTCACGGCACGCGTTCCAAGGCGGGATGCCATGCAGCCAGTGCGTGTCCACTCGGCTCGCAAGTGGCTACAACAGCAGTAGTCAGTGGTCTATGTCCGCTCCGCGTCTTGGTTTGATAAGCTGGATTCTAAACGTCTTCGTTATCTCGATTTCAACAGATGTCGGGATCTACCGCCCCATGCTTTTGCACAGTATGTAGAAATTGAAACATGTCAAGCGCACGTTGGCCCTTAGCGTTTGAAAACCTGGCCGACGCCGAGGTCGATTCGCGCTCCAGCGCGCGCTGGATGGTCGAAGCGGGATCAACAGCATAGGCTTCATACCCGCGTCCGCCGTGCACTGCAATCACAACTCCCTGGCAAACTCATGACTTTCTCGAATCCAGCCCTCCAGCATGGCAACTCCAGGAGCAAAGGTTTCGGTGAATAATATTGAATAGTGGATCGCACAAAGCGACACGTTTGCCCGATGATCGCGACGCTTCAAAGATCTGGCCAGTGGATTTACAGCAGCCGCGCGCGAACTTGGTGCATACAGCGGCCACAGACCCGAACTGGCGCATCAGATCCGACTTCTCGGCATCGCAGGTGCTGCCCCTCGCCTCTGGCCGAGCACACGCCGCCCTGCCCGTCTGGCTTCGCGGCAACCCGCGAGGAGGGGCAGGGCCACTCGCGCCGCCTGCCCTTTCTGCCTTCGCCAAGTCGAAATACTATACCGACGAGGGCGCGACAAAGGGCCAGATAATCAATAATCCCACCAGCCCTTTAGGGCGTAGGTGGTCTAGAGAGTTTCCTCTGCCAACCCCCCTTCTTTCCCTTCGGGGAGGGGTTTACCCCTCCCCTTACCCCTCCCCACTGACCTGGACGGGGCGTTCCGCGACGCGTTGGGACGCCCAAGATGGCCCAAGACTGCTCCAAGAGCGAAAAGGCGAGAAAGCACAAAACATTGATTTTCCTTAGGTTTTGGAAGGATTTTGGCCTCTTGGGGGGGCCCAAGAGGCGATCCGAGGCACTCTAGAGGGGCGAGGCTAATTGAGGCTCCCCCCTTCTTTGATAGATCTCCTCCAAGATGGCCCCAAGTGCGCCCCGAAGGCTCCCAAGAGCGCCCCAAGAGCGCCCCAAGAGCGCCCCAAGAGACCCCAAGAGGCCCCCAAGAAGCCTCTAAGAGGCTGCCAAGAGACCCCCAAGAGGCCCCAAGAGAGTCCAAGATGGCCCAAGACGGCTCCAAGAGCGAAAAGGCGAGAAAGCAAAAACATTGATTTTACCTAGGTTTTGGAAGGATTTTGGCCTCTTGGGGGGCCCAAGAGGCGACTCGAGGCACTCTAGAGGGGCAGCGCTAATATACGACCCTCCCTTCTTTGATCGATCTCCTCCAAGATGGCCCCAAGAGCGCCCCGAAGGCTCCCAAGAGCGCCCCAAGAGCGCCCCAAGAGCGCCCCAAGAGGGCCCCAAGAGGCCCCAAGAGGCCCCCAAGATGCCCCCAAGAGGCTCCCAAGAGACCCCCAAGAGGCCCCAAGATGCTCCCAAGATGGCCCAAGACGGCTCCAAGAGCGAAAAGGCGAGAAAGCAAAAAACATTGATTTTCCTTAGGTTTTGGACGGATTTTGGCCTCTAGGAAGGCCCAAGAGGCGATTCGAGGCACTCTAGAGGGGCAACGCTAATAAGCAACCCCCCCTTCTTGATAGATCTCCTCCAAGATGGCCCCAAGAGCGCCCCGAAGGCTCCCAAGAGCGCCCCAAGAGCGCCCCAAGAGGGCCCCAAGAGGCCCCAAGAGGCCCCCAAGAGGCCTCCAAGAGGCCTCCAAGAGACTCCCAAAAGGACACAAGAAGCTCCCCGAGATACGCAAGAGGCCCCCGGGACCGCCAAGAGGCCCCAAAGACGGCCCAAGAGGCCCCCAAGCTCGCCATTGTCCTCCTCCTCCTCCTCTTTTTCTCCCTCCTCCCTCCTCCCCCTCCCCCTCCTCCTCCTCCTCCTTCTCCTCCTCCTCCTCCTCCTTCTCGTCCTCCTCGTCCTCGCCCTCCTCCATCTCCTCCTCCTCATCTTCCTCCTCCTCCTCCTCCTCTTCCTCCTCCCTCCTCCTCCTGCTCCTCCTCCTGCTCCTCGTCTTCCTCCTCCTACTCCGACGACGACGACTCCTCCTACATCCTCCCCCTCTTGGAACGTATGGCGGCTTAACCCGCTCTTTGTTCTTCTGCATGCTCCCCCGCTTCCCTCATCACCTCCACTCCTCTGGGGCTCATTTCTGGACGGGCTGGTGGGGATACGCGAAGCGTCTAGAATTCATGTCTTCGGAAGCTCTTGAGCACGTCGCGGACGTCGCCCCCTGCAGCTTGGCGGACAGTAGCCCGAGGTGCGCGCGCCATTGTCGAGGTCTCCAAGTGTACGCGCGAAGTGCTCGACGTGCGAGACGCCACGCCTTCGTTCAAGGATGGGTTGAAGCCTCTGGGGCCTGACGTTTCGGGATGCTGTTCCACGCGCGGGTTCCACGTGGAGTCCCCGACGGTGGCCAGCGCGGATTTTGACCAGGCCTTCGAAGCCTGCCAAGCATCGCGGGTTGGGCTTGCGTGGGCCCTGTTCTTCAGGAGGTATTCGGAATTGGCCCAGCCCCTGGACATTTACATCCAGCGTGGTCGGAAGTTTCGTTATCGCCTGCCGTCTGAGGGTGCTCGGTCACGCAGCTGGTTCTGCGCATCTATGGGGCTCATCGCTCTAGCCGTGCGAGCGGCCATGGTTTCAAACCTAATCACGTTCGGCGGCGTGGTAATTGAGTTTCGTGGATTATCAAATGCTGCAGTGATATCTGCTGCCGAGGTGTCCG